TAGCACTTAAGCGAGTAAAGCCTAAAAATATCAGAATATCATGAAAAAAAAATCAAAATATGTCATAGTTGGCATCGCTGAGGGATTGAATTGAATTGCATTTATCTATCTATCTATCTATCTATCTATCTATCTATCTATATATATATATATATATATATATATATATCTAATAATAATAATAATAATAATGATAATAAAACAGACATTTCACGCCTAACAAAACTCCAGTAAATGACTTGGATTTAAACGCCTTTAAAGGCGAGTAGATGTTTGTAAACAAAGTTCTCAGTAATAAAAAATAGAGCAATATAAGTTCATAATAGTTAAAGAAAAGCTCAAAAGATATATCTGTCCGACTTTCAGCAGATAGAAAGATAAATCACGTGGCAGAGTGAGATATATCAAATTTATTAATAGATATGATATTTATATACGCTACAAAAAATTATAACGCTAAACAAATTTCAAACGTATTCTATATTAAAAACATTATAATTTGACATTTAATTAAAAACCCTTATAAGATGACATTTAAACGAGTTCGATTTTTTATATTTACACTAGATGATCTTTTAATTCAGCGAATGTTAACAACGATTTTCTCGTCCAAAATATGAGACATATTTTAAGCCATTGTCATATTTAAAATTACACATTATTTACTTATTTCTTTTATTTATTTGTTTCATTCTTATTTTATATTTTATTTTGTTATTATTTTAATTTTATCTATTTATCTCTCTTTCTCTCTCTCTCTCTCTCTCTCTCTCTCTCTATATATATATATATATACACTTCTTGTTTGAAAAATAATTTTTTAATAATAAAGAGTAAATCCTATAATAAAGTTTAGAAAGAATTCATTTTTCTTGTTATTTTAATTTAATCTATCTATCTATCTATCTATCTATCTATCTATCTATCTGTCACATTTTATTCGTTGTCTTTCTCTCACTCTCTCTCTCTCTCTCTTTCTCTCTGTCTATCTTCTTCCCTCTCTCTTTCTCTCTCTCTCTCTCTTTCTCTCTGTCTATCTATATATATATGTATATGTATGCTGTAGCATCTGCATTAATGTCTACTTGGGAAGTGATGTCATCAGGGAGAGCAGAAAAAGGGTAGGATCCAGGACATTCACGTTCGCGACCGAACAGGACGACCTTCATTTCACGATTTCAGAGGAATGATTGGGAAAGGAGAAAAAGAAAAAGCAAAAAAAAAAAAAAATTAATAATGAAAAAGAAAGAAAGAAAAATAAAGAATTACAAATATTAAAAAAAAAATCCTCTTCCTTTTTTTCCCTTTTTATCCGGGTATATCTGTCAGGATGGATTGATTCCATTTCTTAAAAACATTCGGCCTGAAGAGATGAATATAACAATATTCATGAAATAAATGATAACTGATATGGATTTTCTTAATTTGTCATTATCGTCAGGCCACCGATTACACACACACACACACACACACACACACACACACATATATATATATATATATATATATGAAATATGAACTGTTTACTGGATGTATAACAGTATCCGAAAAATGTGGAGATGATGAGACAAAGAAAGACAAAACTGCATGTAAAGAAAATTCGTTGGGATTATTTAGGATGAACTTATATTATCCCTCGTATCCTCAAAAATTCGAACGCATATCTATCTATCTATCTATCTATCTATCTATCTATCTATCTATATATATATATATATATATATAAGTGTGGACAGACAGGTCCGCCTACGAAACTTTTGAGTCGGGATGCTGAATGTAACATCAATCAGGTAAGTCACAACATTTTACCTACAATAATCTTATATGTGTGTGTAGGTGTGTGTGTGTGTGTGTGTGTGCATGGGTGTGTGCTCGTGTGAATAGATACATTTCATATATATATATATATATATATATATATATATATATGAAATATATGTATGCGCATGTATATTTAAATATTGTAGCGTATGAATATATATGTATATATATATATATATTGGATGATTCAGATAATATTACTTTTTATGAATACATCTCTTTTGATCTTTTCTGATCAACTATCTAAACAACCCGTAAATTTGCACAAACAAGAAAGAGAATTTCAAACTGACATCAAAGAGTTTCCATTTTTTAGATCTTTTTCTCCTTCCTTTTCTCAAACCGCATCTTGGAAAGTTTCCCTCGCCTGAACACCGTCATCTTTTTTTTTGAAATCTTGTCTCTTCTTCCAAGCTTCCTCCCTCATTTTATACTTCTCTGTTCATTTTAATGCTTTCTTTGTCCGTCTCTGTAAATGTCATACTGACTCTTAGACCTTTCCAGAATTGTCTGATGATTTTCAGCTACCGTGAAAACGACTTAGTAATTTATTATAAATTCATCTATTTCAAAAATGTCCAGACTGTAATTGAATTTTTATAAGAATGGAATTTATAAAAGAAATATTGCCAAGCATATTTAAAGCAAATTGTATTTTTGGCAACGTGAACCAATTGTTGTAGGAATAGATCCATTAGCTTTTTGTCTAACTTTAAATTCCTAAAGAAGTATCATAAAAATATTTTAGGTTCATCATGTTGATGGGCTATGGGGTAATAATCCCATCCATCATGTTAATGGGCTAATAAATCAATCGCATTGTATTAGAAACAGTTCTAAAATGTACCGTAACTCTAGAGTTGGCAAAAAGGTATAGATGATTTTCAGTGTCAACAGAAATAGATTCAATCTCTTTTGATTCAATATAATCGCTCCATTCCATGTCAGTGATAAACGTGAAGGTGGAGTGACTTTTTCTCTCTCGAGGATTATCACCAGCCATGCTGATGGAAGGCAAAAAAAAGGTTGTTTAAGATTATTAATAGAAAGCAGTTTCGTTTTAGTGGCATTAAAATCAACAAGCTATTTTTTTCCCTAGTTAACAACAGATTGAAGGTCATCTTTGAGATCAGCTGTCAAATATATTTTATCAAACTTGTTAATCTTACTATTAAAACAGGAGTAAATATTTGTGTCATCAGCATAGTTTCTGAGTCGGGAAATGATGGCATCGGGAAGGTCATTGATGATGGGGGAGTAAAAAGGACGTAGTGGTGTATTAGTCTTCCAAAGAGAGAGAGAGAGAGAGAGAGACCATGTTTTGAAAATCATTATTCGAAAATCTAGCTTTTAATTCGATTTGAAAACTGAACTTTGCTACCAATGGGGAAGCTGATATTTTTTCAAAAACCACGCAGACCAAACATACAGATATACACCCAGACATACCACCTGAAATAATGCGCTGAACAAAGTTGCCATCTCCAGATGAAGTCCCTAGGGACAGGTACGTTTCCTGAACTAAACCGTAGAATCCAACTGGCATCCCATGTCATAAAAGTTTCTCAACAATTAGTGACAATACAGTATATGGCAAGAACAAAATACAGTGAAACGAAGAGTAACCTGCCTGATCATAACAGCTTTTGGAGCTGAAACCACAAGATATGGCAATCTATTTGGGTACAATTTCGAGTTTCCCCGCAGCTATTTTCCTGTACTGAATTCCTGCAGATAAATTTAACTACTGAATCGTCTGGAAACTTTGAGATTTTTTAATCATTACACACCAAGCAAAGCATTAAATCCATGAAGACGTAAGAGGTTATCGAGTATTAGACAATATGAGACAAATATACTAGTAAGTAGAGAGAACATTAACAGGACAAGAATTAAGAAGACAGAAGATAACAATTGACACTACATTTAAATTTTTTGAAGATCACACTTGACTGGGAAGCCAGACGCCGGATGAGAGTTCCACAATTATGAAGTGCAATGGAAGAAACTGTTAGCATAGAACTTACGGTTATATCTAGCCATTTCAACTGTAAAATGATGAGACCTTGCCACCAATCTAATACTGTCTTTAAATTCATAAAGTCTAGGTACCATAAAAAAAAGTAATATTTATTTTAAAATAAAAAAATGTGGCACAAGGCCAATAGAATGGATAAGAAAAGGCTGGTCTTCATCTGTCTCTTAAAATTAGCTAGCCACGATTAATGAGCTATTTATACCACAGTATTCGTTACACCAAAACAACACATTCTTACTTACCATTCTTACTACAGTCACCATAATACCTCAAGTCTCTATGTAGTCATAACTAGTTCCCATATGTACAATTTGTCTGGTGGAGGTGAATAAAAATAAATTATGAACGTACCATAGAGAAGAGTTCATCAGAACAATTACCATGAAAGTACTTATAGAAATATTGTGCTTACCTCAAACACAAACTGCAGAGATCATGAGACAAAAAACATTATGTCCTATGACAACAATAACCTTAGCTTCAGCTGTAATATTTCTGTTCTGAAAATATTAAGAAAAAAATGACAAACAGTTCCAAGAATCCAATGTCTATACATGCACGTATCTAGCAAATTTTCAGGTGTCGATCTTAATTAGCTTACAATTAAAACCGAATGATTTACATTAGTTACATTGGATCCAACCAACACTTTTATCCACTGGGCCATGTGACCTCAAGCATTGGCTGGATCCAGTGACTTGACCCAAAGAGTTGTGAGTTCAATACCTGGACACTGCAGTAGTGAACAAAAATACTTGGAGAGTTGAGTTAAAGGGAAATAACTGAGATATCCGGAAGAGGCAGGGCATGTGGAACTAGGACAATCTACCCTGGTGAACGAAATAAAGGGTTCAGTTCGAAATTCCAATGACCTGAAGAAGGCCGAAGAGTACAACGGCCGAAACGTTGCAAATATGGCAATAAAGATGAGGACAACAGTCCTTACTATGTAAATAATGTAACTAATTACAAAACCTCATCGCAGAAATATAGACAAATATAAAAAAGAATGATGTCCTTCATTCATTACAAAGAAAGGTGATTATTAAACTTCTGGTAAATGTTTTTCATTTACTTTTTTTATTCAAATATCTTAAACGTTTTCTGAAGCTTCTTTTTTTTATTTTGAAGGATATAATAAACGGCCATATCTCGTTGAAAAACCGGTTCCGTACGATCACCAAAGTTAAGCAACGTCGAGTCTGTTCAGTACCTAGATGGGTGACCACTTTGGAATACCAGTTGCTTTATGCTTGGACGTGACGGTTGTGTAATAGATAATAGCGTAATGCTATTACATCTATTACTACTACTAGGTAGAAACAAGCAAAAAAAAAAAAAAAAAAACTAGTCAGAAATGAATAAAAAAGTATTTCTTTACTTATCTACCACGTTTTTTTCATGACGTGTGCGATCATTAGTACCGACACTACTTCGTACCCCCCCTTGTAACTCTTAGAAATATTTGCTTCCTTACTACCCGCTTTTCATGTTCTGCCATCCATTTACACGAGCTCGTAAGGTACGTCACGTGCTGTTTTCTTTGTACCATTAGGAAGCGGAGGTCATGGCACTCCACAACTTCCTATGCTTTGTAGCTCTAAGTAATAGTTAGCTTCTTATTATTCGCTCTCCGCTATCCACTTACACAAGATCGCTAGGAAAGTTAGTCGCTATCCTTCTTGCCTATAATATGTCATGTGACTGCCAGAAAAGCATCCCTTTTGCTCCCATATTCCGTAAAACTTCCCCATTGCTCATATGTTTCGCCAATGGAGTTCTAATTGTTCTGAAAGGAAGTCCATGAGCGTTTATTAGGTGTTGAACTCAACTCAGACCTCAAATGAAGCTCGAACATACGATCCAACGGTAAAAATGCTGGGAAAATGGTCGGCTCCCTTTGCAGATCAAGTAAGTACCCGAAACCGACTCCCAAGAGGATGCTTCCCTGATCACTACAATCTTAACCTGTTCAAGTCTAGGGTTAATCGTTATCTTCCCCACATATCCTCATAAACTGTGCTTCTTACCTCTTACTTTGTAGAACCTACTCCCGTGATGATGCTTTCCCGATCACTACAATCTTAACCTGTTCAAGTCTAGGGTTAACCGTTATCTTCCACACATATCTACATAAACTGTGCATCTTAATCTGTAATCCTCTACCTCGAATGGTTCTTGGGCCTTGTACATGGAGAACATCATAGTAAAATAAATCTCAGTTGCCTCAGGTCTCCTTTTTATCTATGAAGAAACCGTCCATTATTCATTTCGAATATCTTAATATTATATTATCTTTGTTTTCAACGACACTTTTCTTGCTTCTTAACATTGCGTATAGTTTCCAAAAAGCATATTCCTCCACTCCAATGTATCTTCAAATTTCTGTACCAACAAATAAAATTCAAAATGATTAATCAGAAAACATGACCTGGGATTGGAATACTTCATTCGAAGGTGCACTGGGATATCGAAAGATGTCTTTCAAACGCTAAGCAAAGTATTAAGAAACAGAAACATTTTACCAGAACCAAACAAATGAGCACTGAACTGTTATGTAATATCAATCCTCCTATAAAGCAGTGAATACTGGACAATCTCCTCACAGCTGAAAAAGAGACCTGGAGCAACAGAAATGCGGTTCTACAGAAGGATGCTGAGAATACCATGGATCGAGCATGCAAACAGCGACGAAGCTTTAGAGAAAACTGAAGCAAAAAGGACGCTCATACTTAACATTAGAAAAAGACAGTTGAAATTTGTAGGATAGATAATGTGGAAAAAAGGCTTGGAAAATCTGACACCCACAGGACAGATTCAAGGCAAGCGGGACAGAGGAAAACAATGCATAAGCCAACTAACGAGATTGTGGAAATGGGTTGCAGAAAAAGGGTTTGGGAGAAATAACGAAAAGACAAAATTTACTAAACGCTACACAGGAAAGGACATTGCGGAGAGTCATGATCGCCAACGTCCTGAAAGGACACGGCACATAGAAGTGTAAACCTGTAAGCTTGTATACGTGGATGCATATACTGATGGGTGCTGAAAACTACTCAGCACTACTCACTTTCCAAACCCAGTATTTCAATGATCACATTTTGGAGAGTAAGGATTGGAAAAAGCTAAAAAAGAAAAGCTAAAACTATAAAGAAATTCGTGAAAATGAATAAAATTATCAAAAAAACATATTAAAATTCCTATTGCAGGACGTTTCTAAATGAGCAAGATGGCGTAGATGGAAGCTTGAAATTACGCAACGTATGATGTCGTTTATAAAAGATGAGCTTCGTCAGAAACATTTCTTTTATCATATTTCACCCCCACTTATTAACCAAAGAAAACAGTGTAATTCAATCCATTTTTAAAAATGGAATGTCTACAGGATTACAGGCTGCTTTCTTACATAAACCCGCCCAACAACAGAATTGCGAGCAGGGTAAAATCGGCTTAGTTTTCTTGCGTTTCATCAATGAATCATTTTCCATTTTCCACGTTGATTCTTCGCTTCCTAAATTGTTGCTAGGCGCAAAAATAAATTGTCTCAGGGATACACTGCTATAAATAACGATTCCTCGCAGACCCAGTTCTGTTTTTTTTTTTTTTTTTTTTTGCCATTGCACTCCTCATAAAACAACTTCCTCCACCCTTTTCATAAAACAACTCGCTTTCCTCTGGGATCAAGACGAGTTGTTGACTCATAAGAAAGGTAATATCATGTTAAGTATGTTATGAAAATACTGTGATGTGATGTCGTATCATCTTGACGCGGGCTTCAACGGACTAAGAGGGGCCTGAAGTGATAAGAACGAGATCTAAGCAAACATAGATAACGCAAGAAAGAATTTGAATATATACGCATAAGAACTGAATGCAAGCACAGACACATACACTGGCGGAAAATAAAACCGCGACACCTTTAAGGCCAGTACAGATTCTGACTTCGGTACAGTATGCATAGGCTGGGATAGGATATATTGCAAAGCTTTCGGCCATCTTGTAAAGTAGTGCACCGTCTGGGTATGAGTTTTAGACTGTGACGCATACTGCGATACAATTCTGTATGCTGAAAGATCTCATTACAATTTGGTGTCATATCAGAGATCTACATATGTTACTTATTTTTCAGGGGTCCTCAAGCAGGGGAAAATTCACCCCCACCCAAACCGAGAGGAATTACAGTGTGGTAACTCAGTAGAGAGAGAAAATCTTTTGCTTTTTCCTGTTTTTTTATTTATTTACAGAGTTTGGTTTATTGAATTACAATACCCTGGCATTTTATAGATCTTTTGGTTAATTGAACAATAGTTTAGTTTAATTATTTAATAATTAGTTATGAATTAAAACAAATTACTGTACATCTATTCAGGTTTAAAAAAATCTCTCAACATTTTCTATTGCTATTAAATTTGTAAAACTCCTCTATAAAAATAATCCATTTAAATCTATATCTACTAATAGGAAAAGAATAAAGATTTTCAGTAATATATATACCTATTATTTGGAATTCACCTTTTGAGTGAATCTTGGTAAGGTGGGAATGACATTCTGACATATGGTGAAACGGATGCATTGGGCAAAAAAGATTTGATCAACACTGCTTTAGTACGAGAAACTTTTGAGGTAGGTCGTATTGTGAGCCTTCGAGAGGACTGATAGCCATTTCGGTGACTTGTTGTCAACGATGCATTAGTTGTGCACAGATGTTGACAACAGTGGTCAAATAAACATTACGACACTCAGAAACCAGGTTCGGGATGGCCACGTAGTACAAAAGCTCCACAAAACACATAAATTGTAACGACAACAGTTGTAAACGCCCACAATGCTAACTTGGTTCTAGGAATTATGGGAAGACATACCTTTGACCAAACTTTCACTAACGCTAAAAGACGTGGTTCATGTCCCCAGTGACGTTGCAAGCGGGTCACCAGTCACTATATAGTGTTCAGTGATTAGAGCAGGATTTACCTTCATGTCAGTAATGATCGTTTCCTTTACAACCACGACCTGAAGAGCGGTATTTGCCAAATTGTTTTCCCTACAATATATAATCCCAATATACACGTTTGGTGTTTGTTGATTGGCATTGAATAGCTCTGTGTACATTCAGTAAGGGCGTCATTGCTCGAGTTTTTTCATTAATATTAATAACTGGATGCTTTCCCGACAGGACTCATTTTGACGTTAAAATAACTTTCTCTTTATTTTATTGTAATGTATTAAAACATTTGTAATGATGATCATTTATTTTTAATTCATTACGAGGATGGATCAATATATCCCCGTCCTGGGTATGTCGATAGACTACAGCCGCGTCCTGGGTAAGACGTTAAACTACGTCCAACAGCAAGGCCTCTGATCAGGAGGTTTTGGGGAGTATGGAACCACCTCTTAATTGCTGGTGTTCCCTGTTCCATATGTTAGCACCTGTTAGGGTCCCAGCTATGGGTAAATAGTTAACCTCCAAACTGGGGTCAAAACACTATGAAAGTGTAAAAATAGGTTTTAATACCAGAAATACTTTGTAAAAAATTATTACCAGCAAGAAACTTTTGAAAAAAAAAATTACCAGCAATAAAATTCTTGTCGGCATTAAATAACCCATTGAGGTTGATATGCCGTAAAACAAACCAAATAAAACCAGCTATACATTACCCCCCACAAAAAAAAAAACAAAAAAAACAATATTACCTGCTATACATTTATGAAAAAAATATTACCAGCAATAGATCTTTTGAAGAAAAAATATTACCAGAAATAAAAAATTGTCGGCATTAACCAATCAATATATCCATGGCCTGGCACCTTGTTATTAACTGAATTTTGATGTGAAATTTTCACTTTACTACGATCTTCTTTCTCTGTGATTCTTGGACGGAATGGGTTAAATGAACTGAAAGAAAGAATTGCGTTGGAAAAATAAGTATTTCTTTTGTGTAAAAAAAATGTTTTCCTAATCATAAGTCGACGCCCTTACCTACGTAAATATTTTATTTATAATTAGTGTTGGCCGAAAGTAACAAAATACAAGAGAAAAGAAATTTTCTCTTACTGCAAAATTGCTTTATTCTTGAACATTTATGAATTACTGTGTAATTCAGTAATTCATATCTGCGGCGTTTCATTTTGCTTTCAGAGTTTCTAAATGAAAAAATTTCCTAAAGGAATTAGAAGAGGCAGACCAATCTCCTGACAAAATCTGATCCCGCTGGCTTTCAGATTATGAAACCAATCTAAGAAAACT